ATCTCCTTAAAGATCTAAAGAACAAAATCATAGCTCTATCCCAAGCTTCATACGTAGATAAAATAATGAAAAAGTTTGCAATGCAAAAGGCAAAGAAAGGTTCCCAACCTTCTATTGCTGGACTAACTCTTTTATTGGATGATTGTCCTAAGACATCGAAAGAAAGAGAGTGAATGAGTAAAGTCCCTTATGCATCCGCTGTGGGTAGTCTCATGTATGCTATACTTTGCACTCACTCTGCTATATGTTTTGCAATGTGTATAGTAAGTCGATATCAATCGAATCTTGGACTTAAGCATTGGCAAGCCATGAAGCATATACTCAAGTATCTTAAGAGAATGAAGGATTATATTCTAGTACATTCTGGAGGGGACCTAACAACAGTAGGATGCATAAATTCTAGCAAATCGACTTCAGGATCTATGTTCATTTTTAGAGGAGGCACCATTGTGCAGAGAAGCATGAAACAATATTGGATTGATGACTCTGTGATGGAGGCTGAATATGTGGTTGTGGCTGAGACATCTAAAGAAGCGGTTGGGCTCTACAAGTTGTTTAGAGACCTTGAGGTCATTCTAGGTGTTGACAAGCCTATCACACTTTATTGTGATAAGGGCGCGGCTATTGCCAACACAAAGGAATCTAGGTACCACAAGAGGACAAAGTACATTGATCAGAAATACCATAAAATTAGATAGTACGTGGAGGATGGACTGGTAGATGTATGTAAGATCACATCTAAGGACAACATTGATGATCCCTTTACTGAGACGTTGCTGGCTAGAAGCCTTGAAAGGAATGTAGAGGCGATGGGGATGCGAGACATGGCACATTTACTAGCTTAGGGCAAGTAGGAGATTGTTAGGAATACCCTAAGCAGCAAAGACATTTTAATGTTATTTATTTATTTTTGAACTGATTACTAATATATTAGAGGTTATTCATTACATTGTTATGTATCCTCATCTTATTTTACATGTTAAACTAAAGGTAAGAAAATATGGCTCACTGACTACTTAATGTTAAACTATTCGAATGTTGCATGCAATGGTCTTTTGTATGGAAGAAGACAACGTTCTAAAGTAAATAGTCTAAATTTATAGTTCGTAGTCTATGGGGTTAGAGTGAGCATCTAACTCATGTTAAGAGTATTATGTTGTCTAAAGGCAGTTGGGGAGATAGTTTGTCTTGACTATCTGGAGCATGTAGACTCCTGAGTAGAAACATAGATATGTTACCTAGCTATGGTGACGTATTAGACTTGCACCAAAGTATAATTAATCTATGTCGTCTGCTTAAGTAGATTAATTCACTGTTGGCATTCATTCTACAATAACCTTGATTCTGAGTATGTGAATGGCTTCATGTGTATAACATGTTTACTTAGATGTTCCAAATGCTAAGGTGTCTCTAAGTAGTAAGCTAATAGACCGGTTCATTGGGTACTTATATTCGACGGAGGGTTTACTTATAGATATGGAATCATAGCTCTTATAACGAGTAAAGGTTATCCTCTTAAATCCATTATACTTAATTAACAAAATGAACAAGGCCTTGGATCGTTTACTTGGCAAATGATGTATTATTCACATACGGTGAATAATTATTTTCTCATCAGATGTATAATGGATCTTTAATATAGTGTGATCGAAAGGTTGAATGGACGTTAACCAAGGTTGATCATGGATATCATATGAGGGTGTTGCATGTTGACAAGGTCATTGGACAATAACTAATTACTCGCTTACGTAATACGGTATTTAATTGGGAGTGCAGTTTTAAGTTTATTGTAGCATGACTCTGAATCTAATAATTATATAATTGTATTATTTAGTATAGAATAATGATCACATAAATTATTGGAGACCATATTATATGCGTCCAATTGGTCCCTTTACTAACTCCGCATAATTCCTTAACGGATGGTAATTGATCGGAGCATTCTTTATGGCTTTAATTCTTTGTCTTAGTAAAGAGAAAAATTCAGGTCACCTCACAAGGGTGTAGGTGTTTTTCTAAGCTAAGGTAGAATATGAATTTTGTTTGATTTAATTAATGAGATAAATATTTAATTTGTATAAATATTTATATGGAACATAAGATTTGAAATTAAAATTGATTATGTATATCTTTTAAGATAAATATGAAATCAAATTAAATTTTAGAAGATATGGATAAGTCAATCATTTGAACGATTATTTTAAATATCTAAGTGATCTTATTTAAATAAATATTTAAATTTAAATATGGAGCTTATCTTCATTGAATTTGAATTGAAACAATATCTTATCCTACATGCCTAGATTATGGCGTGATCCACATGGATAAGGTGGAAAAGATTTTCTCCTAGTTTGATTTTCTTTTGGATAATTACTACATAATTGTTTAATTCTAAAAAAGTTGACATGATTTTATTTTGAATTTAAATTGGATTTATGGAACACTATCCATGTAGATAAAATCATAAGATAAATTGGGATTAAAATTTAAAATAGAAATTTTAGATATTCTATCCTATAGTGGACAATTTTTTCAAGCAAAAATTAGGGAGAAATATCGCCAATCCCTAGGTGGAAGGATAGAGGAAAAATCATTTTCGGTATCCTATTCGAATTTGAAAACCACCCAGTGTACTCACTATAAATAGGATCCTTGGGACACCTATTTTTTCGTTAGACCATAGTCTCTCAGGTGAGCAAAGTTGTTAATATAACTCTCACTAATATTAATGAATTCCTAGAGATCTACGTGGTTGGAAAGAGACAAACCGCGCAAATACCAATAGAGAATCTGAGTGCCCACACACTTTATTGTTTGAGAATTGGAGAATAGTAAAGAAGGCTAGTTGGTTGAAGCTTTCACGGTCACATCCTCTTGTGTTTCTGAGTCTTGCTTCTCAAGGTATTAAGATTGTTGAATGATTTATTGTATATGGCAACACTAGTATGATCTTTTAGAAAATTTTTAAAATTTCACTCCAAACTTTTTCTATTATTGCTACATTCCACGGCTAGCTTCTTGTCGTCCTAGCCCCACTTGTCTTGAAGCTCAATATTCGATCCCACCGCTAGCTTTGTCATCAAAATAACGGTTTAGAGTTTGAACTTTTTCTCCAAATAATGTAGCTTAATTATGTACAATTGTATCATACTAGTGTGCCTTGATTCAAAATCAAAGTTCAAAAACAATTTCTTAACCCAAGTTATGATTCTTTGAGAATTTGGAATCCAAACAAGAGAAATGGAATGGAATAAGGATTAATGTGGGTAATCCACTCACTTTGAGTTCTCAAATGAAGTTGATTTGGTTCTCCATTGAAATTTGGGTCAAAACAAGGTTTTGGAACATTTTTTAGGCAGGGGAAGTGCACACCGGTAGACCAGTGGCATAGAAGTATTACTCCACCAGTCAGTCGATGGAGTAGTAACCGGTTGACCGGTGGGCAGTAGGCCATCCAAGAAAAATGGCCGATCCGCTAGGAACAAGACTAAATCCTGTATTTCCGGGTTCGATTTTGATATATTTTCATGGGAAATCAACAAAACTAGGTTTCAATTATCAAATAAGGTTCAAAGAATCAAAAACCGCCAATTTCTATCATGGTTTTATCCAAAGCCCATCGAAAATCAAACTTAAATCAAAACACAAATGAAGAACCAAATCACCAAGATAAAATCTGAATTCAAGAGTAGATTTTCAAAAGACTTACCTTGATCTTTCCATTTGGGAAGGAGACTTGATGAAAATCTCCCTTGGTTCAAATCCGGATTCAAGTCTGCTGAAGGAGAGTGACAATAGAGAGAAGGAGAAAAGAAAGAGATGAGTGAGGGAGAGAGTGCAACGAGAGAGAGAGATCAATGAGAGAGTGAGAGAGAGGCGAGAGATTTGAGAGAGAGAAAAGGAGAAAGAGAGTTTTGAGAGAGGGAGAGAGAATGACAAGAGAAAAGAGAGAAAAATGAGAAAGAAAGAAAGAAAAGAAAATATAAGGAAAAGAATAAGATAATATTTAAAGATAGTTAAAAGAAAATGATGGAAGTATGTATTCCCTCATACTTCCGGGGTGAAATTTTAAATACTGAAAAATCATTAAAGTTTCTTAAAAATATTTAAAATTTAAAGATGAGAAAATATTTAATAACCATGATTAATTAAGAAAATCAAATTAAACACACTAATAAATTACAATTAACGTAATTAAACTTGTTTAATTCTTCACGTTGTTATAATGTGTGTGTATCTATATATATATATGTATATATATATATATATATATATATATATATATATATATTCGACAAACTTTACCATAAGAGCTTTTCAATGGGGATTTATGATGGGATGGATTTATAAATTAATTTCTAAATGATTATTTTTATCAAGTTATTTTTTCTCATACTACCGCTGCCGGTGGCATCGGTGATATAGGACTTATTAGGCCCTTTTTCTTATCATTAGGTATCGATTCCCATGATTTATTGTGAGACTGGAATTATCCCGCTCATCGTCTTCCCAAATATGTTTTGGACTGATGTGATTTTAGACATTCTGAATTCTAGTTGATGAAAGTATGGAGCAAGTTTTTAATTTTCATTTCACTAGGCTGGGGACATGAAGAATTCACTTATCCTTTTTCGGCTTTTATCAAACTATTACCGCGAGTTTTTCTGTCTCTTTTTTCTTTTTCTGATCTCTTTGTTCTTTTTATCATCTAATGGTTGTGATTTGAGACCACAAACAAACTTCCTTAAACAAAATGAGAGTTATTAATATAGTTCTAGCGAATTACGTGAAATAATAAACTTTAGTTAAGTTCGTAGACCGAAAGTAAAATTAACAATTTTCGCGGGTCTTTATAGAATTTCCTCTTTTCATGCTACGGTATTTCTTTCTCGGTTAACACGTGAGTTAACGTTCCAAGATATGGAGTGTAACTGTCTCTCAGCCATTTGTCTATAAATAGACTCCAAGCCAAATTCTCACACAAACACACAAAACGTGTCTAAACCAAACATTGCCTACTTTCTTTCTTCCAAAAATTAAAAGAAAAATCTCTAGTCAAGTCATGGAAGGTTCACTTACAATCCCTAAGACCACCAACTCAGTACCTGATCATGTTAATAGGCGTTCAGCAAATTTTCATCCAAGCATTTGGGGTGATCGTTTTTTGTCATATGCTCCTAACTCCATGGTAAGTTTTTTCATTCCGGTCTTTATTTTATTTTATTTTATTTTATTTTTAAGAAATTGGCAGTACTCAAAATAAGTAAAAGAGACCTCGTTAAAACCCTTAAATAGTAAAAAAAATAGGAAAAATTTACCCATTAGAAAACGAGTTCATAGGACGTATATGCATTTGCAATCCTATATAAACTATATACTTTTTTATTTTTTTTTCCTTTACTAAACTTTGTTGGCTTTTAAGTAAATTGAGGTCTCTTTTATTTTTTACATTTGGCTTGCATAGGAAAAGTCAGCAGAAGCCGAAATCACCAACAAGATTCTAGAGTTAAAGGAGGAAGTGAAGAAGATGGTTGTAGGTCCTGTGGAAGATCCTTCAAAAAAATTGAATTTGATCGACACAATTCAACGCTTGGGCGTGTCTTACCATTTCGAGAAAGAGATCGAAACCGTTTTACATCAAATTCATGACAACACCCTTTACAACTGCCCTCAAAATGCAGAAACCTATGATGATGACCTTCATACCGTCGCTCTTCGCTTTCGGTTGCTTAGGCAACAAGGTTATCCCGTTTCATGCGGTAAGTACATTCAGGGGCGGAGTTGTTCAAAGACGAGTGGGGGCAACCGCCCCCATTGATTTTTTCCAAAAATAAAATTGACCCCCTTAAAAAATTAAACTTTTCAGTTTCGCCTACTAAATTTAAGTTTTTCATACATGCTCCTACTAAATTTATTTTTTAAAAAATTTTATTTCTACATCTTTTGTATAACTTTACTCCTTTTACTCATGAGCTATTCGAATATGTATTATGATTTATATACCGGAGCTTTTTATGGTATTTTGTTATAATTTTTATACCATGCATTTTGAGGTAAAAAGCGTACACTTTTTATTTTGAATTACATTACATTTATACATTTCAAATTCATATCAAAATTTGGTTTTCACTATGAAAAATACCCTAATATCCTCATATTTCACAAGTGTCCGTTGCTTTTCAAAAAAAATTATTAATGGAATTTAGCTCTTTAAGTTGTCAAATTTAATTGTTGATGGACGAAAGCCAAGAAATTAGCATAAATTAGAAATTTGACCTTTAACGAAAGCCAAGAAGTTTTCAAATATAATATTGCATAATTTTTTTTTTATCATTTTAAGTATAAAAATGAAAAGTACCTTTAATGATAGGGTATCATTATTGGTCTAATCAAAATCACATTAAAATAAAAAATATGCATAACAAATAATTTTTTTTATACTAATATGGCGTTTGAAGACGAAGCCCTATCAACAGTTTTTCGTTTCACATTGTCAAATTATGTACATGTATTTAGTAGTTCTTGAAAACTACAATACTATAATTTCTTTTTTATATTTTTTTCATCTCATATTTTTTTTAAAAAAAAATAGAATAATATAGTGCCTTCACTGAAAGTAAAGGCTTGTTTCACCACCGCAGTACATTTCTTATTTACATTAATCAACCACAATTCACATGTCAAACATGAGATTAAAAAAACTATGTACGTAGGAAAGCCACAATTTCGCACGAAACTTTAACATTTTTACGATAGTTCTTTGCAAACAAGCTCATGCAATCATATGTGTGGTGGTGGCCATATGCAGACATATTCAAGAATTTCAAGAACACTGAAGGGAAATTCAAGGAAGCACTTGCGAGTGATATCCGAGGAATATTGAGCTTGTATGAAGCGACGCATCTAAGGGTGCACGGGGAGGACATTCTAGACGAAGCACTTGTCTTCACTACCCCTTGCCTTAAGTCCGCGGCATCCAGCCGCCATTTGAGCCCTAGCTTTCTTATCGAGCAAGTAACTCATGCCTTGAAACAACCTATTCGAAAGGGCTTGACAAGGCTAGAGGCGAGGCATTACATGTCTGTTTACCAACAAGACCCTTCACATAACAAGGTTCTCTTAAATTTCGCAAAGTTGGATTTCAACTTGTTGCAGAAAGTTCACCAGGAGGAACTAAGCCATATTGCAAGGTTGGATTATTATTATTATTTTTGTATTAACATGCAATTTTTTTATATAGTCATTGTAATAGCTTTAATTTACTTATACTAATTTATTTTAATTAAATAATTAGGTGGTGGAAGGAATTGGATTTTGCAAGGAAGCTGCCTTTTGCAAGGGATAGAGTGATTGAGTGCTACTTTTGGATTTTGGGAGTTTACTTCGAGCCTGAGTATGGCTTTGCGAGGAGGACACTAACAAAAGTGATTGCCATGACATCAGTTATTGATGACATATATGATGTCTATGGAACACTTGAAGAGTTGGAGCTCTTTACTGAAGCAGCAGAAAGGTGCGAGTTTGAGTCATAAACATAATTAATTAGTTACAAATCATGTATAATTATAGTTTGAGTTTGACTCGTCCGGCGAGCTTAGAGTTCGCAGTTGGAAGGATTTGAAAATTAGAAAATCTTAGGTTATTTTTCTCATTGGCTGGTTCTTTTTCGTTTTTCTTTATTATATTTGTGTTTTAGTTTTGTAAGACATTTTTTCTTTCTTTTGTTTGGATAAAGTTTTCGCTTAGAACCTTAATAGCTACTTTGTTTTAGGTGGGATGTTAGCGCCATGGATAAGCTTCCAGAGTACATGAAAGTCTGCTACAAGGCACTGTTGGATGTTTACGATGAAATTGAAGAAAATCTTGCCACTGAGGATGGAAAATTATATCGGCTAGGCAATGCTAAAGAAGCAGTAAGTTATAATGTGTTTCGAAAAAATACTTAAAGACACCATCAGTGTTAAGTACCATCACTACTAAAATGTAGGTCCCATCTGTAGGCACCGTAGTTTTCTATTTGTGGATTGTGCTTAATATTACCGGTTTCTTATAACAATGTTCTATATTCAAGCTTTTGTTATACTATCTTAAACAATTAAAAAAAAAGTAAAATGGACAGTGATGATCTTCTTGGGATGTTCCTTGAAAAAAGATTTTATTCTTTACACATTGGTGAGTAAAATATGATGTGCAATTGCTTTTCGATAGATGAAACGTCAAATCAGAGCATACTTCCACGAAGCAAAGTGGTTCAACCTTAATTACACGCCAACAATGGAAGAATACATGCCACTCGCACTTGTTACCTCTGCCTATGCAATGTTAGCCACCACATCTTTCGTTGGAATGGGTGACAATGTCGCAAAAGACTCTTTTGAATGGTTATTTAGTAACCCTAAGCTTGTTAGCGCTTCCGAAATAGTTTGCAGGCTCATGGATGATATAGTGTCCCACAAGGTATTAAATTTCTCTTATATATATAACGTACCCATATAAAACTATTGATGCCCATATGGGTCCCACTAGGTGGGGCCCACTCCTTAGATAAAAACCCATCCGGAGAAAAAAAGTATTTTTTAAATTTTAATCACACATGCTCTGTAACATTTTGTTTAATGTGAAATTGACATTAAACAATATTAATGTTTGTTTGATGTAGACTTCACGTATACAATATTAAGGTTTTCTCTACGTTGTTGTTGGCAGGACCATAATGTACCATACTGAATAGAAATTAATGTTTGTTTGATGTAGACTTGACATATATATATATATATATATATATATATAACATGTTTGTGTAATGTGAAATTGACACTAGAAAAGTGTAACAGGATTTGGATAACAATTTCTCATTGTGTTACGCGTCTAATATCCTCGTTACATGGACTAAATGTTATGCTATATTTCTTACTTCTATATATTAGATAACAATACTCTTACCGGCTTGACCGTATACAATACTTTAACCCCTTATTTTACACGATTTTGGTGTTACATATATATGTGTATATATATATATATATACAGTTTGAGCAAAAGAGAGGGCACGTCGCTTCTGCTGTAGAGTGTTACATGAAACAACATGAGGCCACTGAAGAAGAAGCAGTAAAAGATCTTTGGAAACAAGTGATTAATGCATGGAAGGACATAAACGAAGAGTGCTTGTACCCAATCAGTGTCCCAATGCCTCTCCTAATGCGAGTTGTTAATCTTGCACGTGTTATTGATGTCATTTACAAGGATGAAGATGGCTATACACATTCTGATGTGGTCCTCAAGGATTTTATAGCGTCTATGCTCATTGATCCTGTGCCAGAATAAGCATCCAATTGTAGAAGGGTTCATAAATATGCTTGTAATGAAATAATGGCAATTATAAATTGTCCCTACTTTTCTTGGGTGATCAGAATTAACTATATGCCCAAGGACTAAATAAAATCTGTTTCATAATGTTGTAGCAAATTATATTGTATCTTTTTGGAACTTATAAATTAGAGTGCTTAGTTTAATAATGTTCATGAATAAGTATTTTGTTATTGATCATGGTTACAAAAGGGAGAGAAAAAATGTTGGTCATGTAAATTAACTTTACCAACCAATTTCCAGGATACAGCAGGTTAAGGTGTTCTTTGAATTTTGAATTTAACTTAAAACCAATAATTACCTGAATTTGTTCAATATTAATATCATAAATACGTAGAAGAAGAAAATTAAAAAAATAAAAAACAGAGACAGAACCATTTCTATCCATAGTTTCTATTTATGCCCACATATTTCAGTGTATCACCATACAATATTACTCTTCTTGTATTAATAGAAAACTTTATTAAAGAAAAAAGGGAAAAAAAGTTCTAAAATACTAAAATATTAATAAAGCCTAAGCAAACAAAAGAAAGCCAAACTGTATGGTTTAAATTATAGTTTGAATTGACATTTAGATGTGCGTTAAAATTTTGATCTGAATATGGAAAAAAATTATAATTTGTGTTTGGTATTGTGAAATGCAGAGAGAGTAGGTATATTTTTACTGTTCAAAAATCGTTTAAACAGTTGAACTTAAAGGGGAGCTAAACTCTAAGTTGGACAGTTTAATTCAGTTCAAACGGGAAATATAATTCAGATTGTGTGCTTACCAAACACAAGTTTAAACTGTGATCACTGTTTGAACTAAATTGAACTAAATGGGAGATTATTTTTAAAACCCTTCCCACTACGAGTTTTAAGCTTATATAACAATTTTTTGTTATCTATATATTTATCGTTGTCATTTGATTATCTGACATTTTCAGACTATCAATTTTCTTGGGTTTTGCATAATATGAACTATAGCCACAGGATCTTTCTTAGTCAAGATTTAATTGTTGGGAACCTTCTCCGGTACGCCAACATACCTATAAGTAAAGGTTTGTCTGTCGGATCTGCACAAAATCACGTAAAGTAAAAAAAAAATATATGCATATCCTACGGTTAGAAAAACCTGGCCTACCGGTACACCAGAAAAACCTAGCCTAATTGTTGCTCGGATAGACTGGTTTAGCTCTATACTTTTTTTGTGTGAAATAATTTTATAATATACAAAAAATTTTAAAATAATTCTCCATTACAAGGTAGTCACTAAGCTGGTTTTTGCTCTCACATCCACTAATTTGAAGCAGGGAGATTCTCTACTACACCTGGTATATTGGTACGTCAGATTTTTTTAATCGTTGCATCTGGGTACTTTTTAATTTTTACGTGATTTTATACAGATTCGACGTACTCAAAACTTAACCTACAAGTATGTTGGCATATCAGAGACGGTCTTTTTGAAGTAATCTTATTAATATGATGACAACAACGTTTGTGTCTAACGTTGCATTCCAAGTTTCACTTCTCACCAAATGATCTTATGTGTTTTGGACATGAAAGATATGTAAGTTGCTTATAAAGATTGCTGGAGAAGCCAGCATGTTTTGTGGTCCACACTTAATTAATTGATTTCGTCCGAATGGGAAACACCTCAAATTCCATATATGTGATCTCAAATACTTCGATGCTTATGTATTGATGACTGAGAGTGACTAATCACAAAGGTTTCTTGAAAACCATGTGTGTATTTCATTTGTGGCACATGTGCATGACAAGAGAAAAGCAAGTGTTTTCCTTTTTTTTTTTTGACGCGAGAAATACAGAAATGCCACTCAAATGATGTTATTTTTATATGTGTCATCAAAAGGTAAGTTTAAGATCTATGCTTCTTAGTTTGTTTGAAAATATGTACTTTGTTTATGTTTAATTGCATAAATATAAAGTTTTCGAATTTTCGTGGCTTGCCTTGCAATTTCCCTTTATGAATTGGGTATGATGTATGTCAAGGATTTGAAACCACGCAATGTAGGTTGTGGCAAGGACAAAATAGAGGCTAGAAATTATGCAATTTAAATTGACAGGAATATTGATCAATTTCATTTTTCAAAAGGCAAAAAGGAAAAAAGAAAAAATTGACAAATAATATGAAAAAAATAGAATAGCTACAATTATATCAATGTTGTTATTCCATGCAGAAGGAGTGGACATAAATAATAAGGAATTAATATCCCCATACTCTGAAAAATTATATATATATAATATTTTGAAAAATATCGTTTTGTTCACACGTTTAAGTTAGTGATTCCAATTTATTGACATTTTTTCTAGTAATAATTATAGATGAATTAGTAACATGCTTAATAATTAAATAAACCTATCAATCAAAAATAAGAAAACATAATGAAATTGAACTTGAAACGTAGGGGAGATCAAACGATCACAGCAAGGTCCCCATTGCTCTTTTCTCCTCAAGTTTTTAGGAGGATTTTGCCTAACTAAATCCTCTTTTTCTACCACTCCTATCTTCTGGAAGTGTCTGTGCAAGGTAGTCTTCCAGTCCTTGTAACATTTACTGCCTTCATGATCAACTTTATCTCTAATGATGCCGTTGTTGCGGTTGTAGTCGAGGTTAAACCAATCCTGCAACACATTAAAAAATCAACAAATAAATTTTAAATATTGTATTTAAATAAATTTTTACAACAAATTTTATTTCAAATAAATACTAGCATGTGATTTTGAATCATCCTTTTGTGCTCCTCATGCACGTCCTTCCAGGCGTTGTAGTGTGGGTCATAGATATCCCTGGTGTGCAAGCTGTTAGGGTTTATGCGCTTAGAAATAAATGTAATAATGTTCTTTAAGACATTTTGACTATTAATAAAGATTTATTTATTTCATATATCTATGTATTGTCCTCATTATGTTCATATTAGTTGAATGTATGATAAGCAAACTAAAAGTCTGAGACTTTAATTCTAAATCTTTAGGTCATGCATGTAATAAGAAGAACATATGGAAGATAGGAATGTAAAGATGATAGTCTAAATCGGACAGGAATCTAAAGTTAACATTCTAGCATACATTTAGTCTACAATATGCTCAGATTGAGCAACATAGGAAAATAAATTTATTCGCGTTGTAGACAAGAAAACTATCGATACTTACAGAAGTTTTGCTAATGTTGTGTCCTTTACCACACTTGATGCTTTCTGACTTCGATCGTTAACCGATCCTATTTCATAAATTTTTTATCGTTAGATTTAAAATCTACGATCAATAGTTACATTAAAATTTACTTCTGAAAGTTCTACAATCCTTATTTTTGGCACTCAATGCGAAAATATTTCCTATCCCAAAAATTTGCACTAAAACTGTGCACCTTCCTCTGTCATGGGCCTAATTTTCAGTTTCGGTCTAAAACTTTGAATTCTCATTATGTTCAGTTTCTATACATCACCGATTATCGAATCGACTTACTTTTCATATCTTAATTCCTTATTCCTCATGAAAACTGGTTTTAACTGAAAGCCTCAAACTAAATTTCGGCAGAGTTACGCCTATTTCTTTAAGTTTCCCGAGCTAACCTTAGCTTGTTTAATAAGTTATTTCTACCATCAAACACCATTCACATACTTTCTCTTTCAATTACATCTCAATTGTAAGGTTTCCTCATAATTCTGTAAAAATTATCCATACCAAGAATTACTAGAAACAAAAGCTCAATAACCTAAAATTCATCCTTAACTCACTAGTTATCAAGTTCCTTAACCATTACAAGCAAATCACCATTCTTATGTAAAAATTTTCTTCATGCTTTCTACCACATCCCACGTGCAGCCATAGTGAAGAAATAAGAAGGAAAACCTGAATTCTCACCTTAGAGAATGAAATACAAGCTTTAGTGACGTGAACAAGCAGTGTCGTTTCGTCAATTTCGATTAAAACTCATTTTTCTCACTTTGGATGATTTTTTTTCTCTTCCTTTCTCTTTGGCTGAGTTCCCTCTATTCTTAGCATGAGAAATGAACATTTCTCACATGTTATCCCCTTAATGAACCGACCATCCATAAAGCAAGAGTCTAAAAATGCAATTTTTGACTTTTCTAAGGACCTTTTTGCAAAATTAAACAAAATATCCCAAAAATATCTTTCCTTTTCGTCTCCTCCATGCTTGGCCGGCCACCTTGCACGCCACATGCCTCAATCTCAGCCACTTATCAATTTAATTACTTTAAATCCTAGCCATCCATTCATAATAATTATCTCATTTTTGTTCCGTTTAATTATGTCCGGTGTGCGTTTTATTTGTGCTTTTCAGACAGTTGCTCAACTTAGTCAACCTTGACCATTCTTGACTAACTTTTTGAGGGCGACGTTTTAGTCGACTCTTAGTCAACAAATTTTGACTTGGTCAACTCAACAGTCAAAACCCCAATTACCTCAGTTCGGCCTTCCGAACCCCTTTTTCATCTGTTTTTCGTTCCGATTGTTTATAAAACTCTAGAATTGATATCTTTAAATTATTTTTCATTTCTTAAACTTAATATTCATGTGTTTACCCACTTGCAGGCTTAACACAACATTCCATACGTCTTTCTTAAATATTATCTGAAAATCGATAATTACATCATAGTTCAAAAATTTCTAAACTTTAACTTATAACTTGCTATTCTATATTTATATCAACAAATACTTATCATAAAAGTATTCATATTAATGATACAAAGGATTTCAGGAAATTTTATCTTATACAATAATTCTGATAAATTTCCTGGCCATGACAATAGTGAACTTGTATGCTTGACTTGTATCATTTGATGTACCAAAGGGAGACATTCTGACATTATGTAAAGGTACGCTTACCGGTACATTAGGAGTATGACTCGTATATGTATAGATTCATGTTTCATAGATAGTGGACTCCATAGCTCCTACAAAGAGTCAATGATATCCTCTTATGCATTATCTGTGGATTGGAAAATTTGATCGTTCGGCCATTAGACTACTCTATGTTATCTAATGGTTTACTATTTGTAATGTTACGAATAGTGGTTTTCGGATGGTGTGGTAATGGAACATAAGATAAATGTTATCGGGAAGGTAAAATGGAACTTGACCACAAGTTGATTATGGATATCCTATGGGGATGATACACTAATATATTGAGTCATGGACGAGAGCTATTCAGAGCTTTGTAAATACGTTATATAAATTGAGAGTGCAGCTTTTAGCTCTTAGTAGAGTAGCGCTAGAGTATATAATCATGAGCCGAACTTGTTGGTTTACAATTAGCGTTGCGATTATAGGAGCTTGATTTATATATGTCCATTAGATCCCTTTGCAAGCTCACATAATTTCATGTAATGATACGGTGTATTTCTTACATATTGGTAACTTGTGTTATTTCCGTAAAAGGGGTTCAAAGTTAATATGAGATTGGTTAATTAATTCATGAGTGATTTATCAGGTGAATTAATTGATAAATTAATTCTAGATAACTTGGTTGAATTATTGTTTTAAGAGTTGTTTAATATGGGAAGACTATTATATGACTGTTTTGATCAGGCAACTTCTCTATTGGGTTGCTCGAATCAAAATTGTGGCTATGTGCACGTTTCTCGTATTGAAAAATTAAGAAAACAACTTTTGCTAGTTTAGACAAGTCGACCGGTCCGGTCGACCGGTGAGTTATAATGTCTCTGTCATCGGTCGACCGGTTGTAATGTGTAGCACGTGCTGACATGGTGAAACTGACTCTGTAAGTGAGATAAACTTAAAGAAACCTAATTTTTACAGAAATATGACTTCCTAAACACTATAAATAACCCATTAAGTCATATTATTCTTTAGATCACGTTAGAGACTTTTGGGGGCTATTGGCAAAAGATTCCTAAGAGAAAAAATTATTTAATTCTCAAGAATGATTTTTCCTTTGGCTCTCTTGTGGTTGGAAGGAGTTCAAGAATATCAAGGAAATATTGAATGACGTGTGCTCACCCGCACTCCGATTGTGGAAATGAGAATAGCAAAGAAGACCAGTTGGTTAAGGCTCTTTCGGTTGTTGTTTGGAACACTTTGATCTATCAGACGTGCTGTTTCCTGAATCTCTAAAGGTATGATTTAGATCTTTAGTATTTATGTTCTATAGCATCATGAACATGTTCTTGATTGGTTTTGGCATTGATGTAAATTTTTAAAATTCCGTTGTGCACTCGATGCCGTATTTTTCCAACAATTCTTATGAGAGCCATGGTTATTTGTTCATGATTATGCTATGTACATAGATTTGTGATCTAAAAAATATCTCCTTTATGCCTGAATTGATATTTTAGAGAAATGGCACTCTAGGGTTTCTGTTTCTTTTGGTTATCATGAATATATAGTGAATGGATGATTAAATAATTGTTATTGATTATTATTTATAAATTATCAATGATTTTTTATTATTTAATTTTTACCGGTTATGGTTCCTTAGAGTTTAGAATAGTTGTATAGGAATTTTTTCTTGACGATGTAATTAGATATACGGCCTATCATCGTCGATAGGGTTTATTTTATTTTCTTTCGTAGAAATTTTGTAAACCAAAAACGGTATAGAAATTTTCATGTAAAAATTATTGGAAGAGATTTATCATGGATCTTGAATATGTATCTTGAAGATGAAGGATGTAAAGGTATCTAATTTTTCTTCGTTTATAATATTGTTTCGTGTTTTTGAATAAATTGAAAAACTGCTTTGATTTTTGTTTTTTCAGATTTTGGTGACAATTTTTTGAAATTGTCAAAATTCTAGAAAATTTAGAAAATATGGGTTACTGTCGCATAGACACGGGTCGACCTCTCCGGTCAACCAGTTAGTATAAGGCGGTCGACCTGTGGAGTATAACTACTCTATCACTGGTCGACCGGACCTAATGTAGCAGTGCACGATTTTGCAGTTTTTTGAGATTTTTTCAAGAAAACATGATAAATAATTTTATGATAACCAGGAAGATTCATGATGAAGGATCGATATATGTGTTCGATTATTCTTAGTAATCTTTATTTTTTCTTTTCTCTAGGATGGAACCATAATATTACGATGGTTATTGTTATGCTTGTTACTATATACGATTAATATGATTTGCTATATATGTGATAACATGTCATGTAGAATAGGGAGTGCCGCTCATTAAAATTGTTCATGCATATTTTTGACATAAAACTTTGTTTTCAAATAGATTGAGTAGGTGAGGGTTTTTGAAGAAAAGACCCATGGTCTCCATCGTTGGTCCGCAGGTAACACATGGTGATACCGACCCCTATGAAGGGATTCATTATGTACCAGTGTGGATCTCTGAGAGGATAATTTATTTGAACATATTTTATGGTTGTACACCCTTAGGTGACAATTATAAAATATGGATCAAATTGTTAAAACGGTAGTTATACACTCAAGATTAATTTAATTATTAATCTCCCCTAGGAGCTCTGTTAATTAAATTAATGACAAAAGAAAATGATTATCAATGTGTACTGGATAGAGATTAATCCGGATGGTATATATTGATCGGAGAGGATCCGTGTTCCCAATTGAATTTTGCATGATCTCCCCTAAGAGACTTACAAAATATTAAGTTGGGAATTATCATTGTAAGGTTGTGATTGTTTCAAGCTTTTGACACACAAACATATTAGTTGCATTATAATATGTATATATGATTGATTACTAAATATTTATGCAAGTTTGCTTATACTAGATATATGAATATTTATTGTAGATCAAAATGTCTGCTAGCGGATTATCATTGATACTTAATAAACACACTTTAGCTGGAGAGAATTTTACTAATTAGAAATGGAACCTAAAGATCGTCCTAACCTTTGAGAAACTAAATTTTATACTCAACACACCTTGTCCTCCGGAGCCACTTGTTAATGCTCCTAATGTGGTTTTTCTAGCGTATCAACGCTGGAAGGACTCTGACGATATGGCTTGCTATTATATGATGGCGAGCATGTCCACTGTGCTACAAGCACAACATGAAGATTGCATAACTGCTCTTGAGGACTTGTTCGGTGGCAAAGCCGTTGAAAAACGTCAAGAACCCCTAAGTAATCTCATTAATTGTACACAGAAGGCTGGGTCTTCAATAAATGAACATATGCTTAAGGTGATGAGATATTTGGCTGACGCTCAAACCAATGGGGCCGACATCAATGCTGAGTCTCAATTGACCATGATCTTTGAGACTTTATCGAAGGAGTATATTCCATTTAGGGAAACATTCAATTTGAGCACTAAACAGAATATAACCCTGACAGAGTCGATGCAAGAACTCCAAAAGTTTGTGCGGATGATCAAAAGGTCAACTATAGTGAAGGCCAATTTGGCTGAGGCATCTTCCTCCAAACCCTCTCTAGGGAATGGAAAGAAGAAGCAAGGGACCAAGAAGGATAGTTTTTCAGTTCTGCCAAACAAGTGATAGGACAAGAAGAAGAAGAAGAACCCGAACAAGCTCAAATGCTTTCATTGCGAGAAGGTGGGGCACATGAAGAAGAATTGAAAGGACTACCTAGCCTCTTAAGGTAAAAGAGGTGAGTGTGATCTTTTGATTGTGGAAGCATGTCTGGTTGAGGAATCCAGTGACAACTAGTTCATAGATTCTGGAGTAACTAATCATGTGTGTGTTTCTCTACAGGGGTTCAAGTAAACGAGAAGTCTTCTAAATGAAAGCTTTATGTTGAGGATGGGTGATGGAACTCTAGTGTTAGCTGAAGCAATGGGAGACGCCCATCTTTATTTTGATAGTTGTAGGAGCTTATTTTTGCGAGACTATTTTTATGTTCCTCAATTTAAGTGGAATCTTATTTATGTTGCTTGTTTATTTAAGAATTCTTATATAGTTTCTTTTAATAATAAAGTTATAATTCATAAAAACAAGTCTTTTATCTGTGATGGATGGATGCAAAATAATCTATATTTTATCAAACCAAAGATGGACTCACTACTAAACACTGAAGTTGTTAATAACTCTAAAAGGCTTAAAACTTCTCACACTAATGAGACATATCTTTGGCATTTGTGACTTAGTCACATTAGTCTTAACAGGATACAGAGGTTATTAAAGGATGGACCTTTAAGTTCTTTAAAGGTTGAGTCCTTACCCCAATGTGAGTCTTGTTTAGAAGGCGAAATGATTAAAAGACCATTTGGGTCTAAGGGCAGTAGAGGGTAAGAGATTCTTAAACTTGTGCATAGTGATGTTTGTGGTCCCATGAACATCAAGGCAAGAGGAGAGTATGAGTTTTACGTCACTTTTATCGACGATTACTCAATATATGGTTATGTGTACCTGATGCGTCACAAAAGCAAAACTTTTGAGAAATTCAGGGAGTCTCGGGCTGAAGTGGAAAAGCAATTGGGTGAACCCATAAAGGCACTTCGATCCGATCAAGGTGGAGAATACTTCTCTGATGAGTTCACTGGATACTTATTAGAGAATGACAGAGTCGATGCAAGAACTCCAAAAGTTTGTGCGGATGATCAAAAGGTCAACTATAGTGAAGGCCAATTTGGCTGAGGCATCTTCCTCCAAACCCTCTCTAGGGAATGGAAAGAAGAAGCAAGGGACCAAGAAGGATAGTTTTTCAGTTCTGCCAAACAAGTGATAGGACAAGAAGAAGAAGAAGAACCCGAACAAGCTCAAATGCTTTCATTGCGAGAAGGTGGGGCACATGAAGAAGAATTGAAAGGACTACCTAGCCTCTTAAGGTAAAAGAGGTGAGTGTGATCTTTTGATTGTGGAAGCATGTCTGGTTGAGGAATCCAGTGACAACTAGTTCATAGATTCTGGAGTAACTAATCATGTGTGTGTTTCTCTACAGGGGTTCAAGTAAACGAGAAGTCTTCTAAATGAAAGCTTTATGTTGAGGATGGGTGATGGAACTCTAGTGTTAGCTGAAGCAATGGGAGACGCCCATCTTTATTTTGATAGTTGTAGGAGCTTATTTTTGCGAGACTATTTTTATGTTCCTCAATTTAAGTGGAATCTTATTTATGTTGCTTGTTTATTTAAGAATTCTTATATAGTTTCTTTTAATAATAAAGTTATAATTCATAAAAACAAGTCTTTTATCTGTGATGGATGGATGCAAAATAATCTATATTTTATCAAACCAAAGATGGACTCACTACTAAACACTGAAGTTGTTAATAACTCTAAAAGGCTTAAAACTTCTCACACTAATGAGACATATCTTTGGCATTTGTGACTTAGTCACATTAGTCTTAACAGGATACAGAGGTTATTAAAGGATGGACCTTTAAGTTCTTTAAAGGTTGAGTCCTTACCCCAATGTGAGTCTTGTTTAGAAGGCGAAATGATTAAAAGACCATTTGGGTCTAAGGGCAGTAGAGGGTAAGAGATTCTTAAACTTGTGCATAGTGATGTTTGTGGTCCCATGAACATCAAGGCAAGAGGAGAGTATGAGTTTTACGTCACTTTTATCGACGATTACTCAATATATGGTTATGTGTACCTGATGCGTCACAAAAGCAAAACTTTTGAGAAATTCAGGGAGTCTCGGGCTGAAGTGGAAAAGCAATTGGGTGAACCCATAAAGGCACTTCGATCCGATCAAGGTGGAGAATACTTCTCTGATGAGTTCACTGGATACTTATTAGAGAATGAGATTCTATCCCATTTGACTGCACCTGTCACTCCACAGCCGAATGGTGTAGCTGAGAAAAGAAATATGACCTTGTTGGAAATGGTACGGTCCATGATGACCTATTCAACATTGCCTAAATCTCTAAAGGTATGATTTAGATCTTTAGTATTTATGTTATATAGCATCATGAACATGATCTTGATTGGTTTTGGCATTGATTTAAATTTTTAAAATTCTATAGTGCACTCAATGCCGTATTTTTCCAATACAAACCGACAACACTGTCAAAATATGAGACGTTTTCACCAATCGCCTTCTACGTACCAGCCTCGTCAAATAAGACAAAAAGCTTCCTATCTCTTTTTACCTTCTCCACAATATCTTGACCTAGAGCTACCCCTCGACTAGGTCAACATCGAGGGGTCATCTCTAGAACTGTAAAAAAATAAAAATAACTAAATTTGATTATATAGAGTTCGATGAGTAAAAAACACCCTTATTGTGTTATAGCATATAATACATGACTGACAATGTGCCGAGAGTCTCGTCGAATCTGGTGCAGGCTGTGATCCTCCTGCAGAGCCGGCGCATGTAGATACTAGGCCGGACATCGTGACTCTATGTTATTTAAAAAAATAAAACTTTATTAGCTACTTCATTTCTTACACAATTTCTTAACAAATATATAAAACAAATCATGAATATAAATTAACTACTTTAGTTATATTCGTTGTCACGATGAATTTCTTAAACATCATCGGCACTTTCTATGTCGTCATCATCTTCAAACTCGACGAGCTCAACTTTAATATAGTCAAATATAGTTTCATTATCACCGTCGTCAATAAAGTCATCTTCAATGGGCGACTGGACCCGTAAGTATGTGTCGACGTCAGACGTGACAGTACTTACTTCGACATCAGGCCGATCAAATGTTAAGTTGTCCAGTTCAGGTAGTTCAACTACTAACTCAACATTTCGTGATTCTGTGTCTTGAACTATTGTGACCTCATCGACGTGCCTCTATGAAAAATCCCATATATTTCTATGCCCAAGATATTCCATAACTTTTCAATTCGTACCGTTAAATAAATCATCAACGTAAAAACTTGTTTCGCCTGGGAAGCTAAAATGAAAGGCTCATTCTCATACCACGAGTCCTTAACAAAGATACTTATTCTATTCTTGTATTGTTGAATTCTTCTTTTTCATGCCCGAGTGTCAAACCACTTACACTTGAAAAGGAAGACTGAATTGTTGTTTATGTATAATAATTCAATAATCTCTTCCAAGACTCCGTAGAAAACATGATTATCTACTCCGCGTACATAAATGCCACTATTCTGAGTAGTCAAGTTGGTAATAATCGATTTATTATAACATGATAGTCGTGTGATATTAACACACTGATCTTTGTGTTCCCATCAGTTATATTTTTTAACTCACTGATCTTTGAAAGGTCCACTGGCATCTTAACTATAAAAATAATAACACATTCAATCATAGTTCATGTTTTTTTGTGACTATATAGTCACGTTCACTAAGAAAGTTTTATAGCTCATGCTTCAACTTTATAAAGTTTTATCAATTTTTATGAATAATTTATCCTATAATTATTGCATTCATAATGTTTATAATTAAATTTTAATTTACTTTCAATTAATATAACTAAATCTTATTAATGAAATTCTTAAAATTAATTGGTTTTAATAAAATTTTGACAGCATAACGACTTATTTTTCTTATTATTTAAAAATCTAAACCTGCAAAAAAATAATTTTTAAAAGATTTCAGCACACCATAACTGTAAGATGTTCCACCCAAAAAAATCATCAAAATTTTTAATCTTAACCTAAATCAAATTAGAAGCGAATAGGCATCCAATTGTAGAAGGGTTCATAAACATGCATGTAATGAAATAATGGCCTATTATAATTGGGTAATTTATTATATGCGCAAGGACTATATATAATATGTTTAATAATGTTGTAGCAAATTATATTGTATCCTTTTGGAACTTATAAATTACAGTGCTTAGTTGAATAATGTTCATGAATAAGTATTTTGTTATTGACCATGGTTGGAAAAGGGAGAGAAAAAATGTTGGTCGTGTAAATTAACTTTATGACCAATTTCCAGGATACAGCAGGTTAAGTTGTTCTTTAAATTTTGAATTTAACTTAAAACCATTTCTTACCTGAATTTGTCCAATATTAATATCATAAATACGTAAAAGAAGAAAATTAAAAAAAAGAGGGAGGGAACCATTTCTATCCATAGTTTCTATTTATGCCCACATTTTTCACTGTATCACCATACTAATGTTTGCCCCAAAAAAGAAAAACACACACTATTACTTTTCTTGTATAAATAGAAAACTTTATTAAAGAAAAAAGGAAAAAAAAAGTTCTAAAATACTAAAATAATAACACCTAAGCAAACAAAAGAAAACCAAAATCCAATGCGAGCAAAACAAAATAAAATGAAACTCAAATAAGAAATTAAGAAAAAATTTGAAAATATTCTTAGCCCCCGTTTAGTTTGATAGTTCGAATTTTGTTAATTTGAATTTTTTTATTTGAACAGAAAAATTCAAACTGTATGGTTTAAATTATAGTTTGAATTGGCATCTAGATGTGCGTTAAAATTTTGATCGAAACATGGAAAAAAATTATAATTTGTGTTTGGTACTATGAAATGCAGAGGGAGTAGGTGTCTTTTTACTATTCAGAAATAGTTTGAACAGTTGAACTTAAGGGAGAGCTAAACTCTAAGTTGGACAGTTTAATTCAGTTCAAACGGGGAATGTAAT